TATTCATCACTTGCCTTAATCACTGTCGATATCTCAAGTCTAAAATATACAAGAATTGTACTTAATGATCTGAAGCATTAACATTCTTAGTCCAAGTTGATTGGCGTCAAAATAATGTTGTAAATTTTAATCCATCTATATCTATTTTTTCACCTGAAAAAGATAGAAACATTAAATATTCGCTAACCTGGTAGTGTTATTTCACGATTGAAAAATAAGTACTATTAATTAGAACATATTGTAAAAATATTTAACAATCAAAAACATTGAAGATTTAGTATGCATTACAGTATAGAAGGACTGTAACAAATCTAATCGCTGCAGCAATCAATATATAATCAGAGTAGTTTTCATTAGCGAGAAGTTTTAGTAGGAAACAATAAACTATCAAAAAAAATACATTATGAGTTCATTTACATATTTATTTGACAAAAAAGCTTACCTGAATTAAGGTGTAGAGTTCAGTTCATACATACTTAATCTAATCTGAAAAGTGCAAGCTGCTAAAAATTGGGTTCTTAAGAAAATATTGTTAAAATTCAAAACACAGATTTTCGAATGGAACTCAATATAGCCAAAATAGACTAATTCCAAAAGCAGCTTGAGCATTATTTAGAGATTGGAATCAGATAGTTTCCAAAGACATAAAAGAATGTATTCACTTGTATTCGCATGAATTACTATATTGATTTATAAACACAACTAACCTCAATGTAGAAATGAATGCATATTTGAAAGCATATAAAGCACATTAGAGAAATCTTGTATTTAAATACATTGTGATAATTATTTGTAGAGGGAAAGTATGATAATTTCAAAGATAATGATAATAATCATTTTTAGTATAGTTAAAAAAAAACCTGGGTTGATTCCTGGCAAAATTCTTTGTATTTTGGTTTTTAGTGTTAAAATATAAAATTGATACAAAATAATCGAAGGTTTTTGGTGTTATTTATATTTTAGTAATAAGAGTAGAAATTAATAAAGAAGCACCGATGAAATGACTATAAACTATGATTATTAATGGGAATCCCTTGTTATAAATTGGATAAGATGATAATTTATGATTCTAATTTCTAAGATCCGTCTAAATGAAGTAAGATTCAAAATCAATAAGGCCTGAATTTCCTGCATTTTTAAATATAAATACTCGAAAATCTTTTTATTAAAGATGTCCTATGATGTCATAAGTGGAGCAATCAGGGATGCTTTCCTCTGCCAATTAGATCACAGCGAATTAAGGGTAAAATGAGTAGATAGGATGCATTGACGCCTGACAAGGAAAGAAATTAAAGGGGGAGGAAAGTAAGATTTAATTATATTGAGTCAAGTAATCAGGAGATGATGTTTGCTTGAAGTATATATCATTTGTTGGAGAATCAATAATTAAAGCTTGTATAAGATTAGAAAGGAATTTTACAGAGATGGAAGGGTACATTCTAAGGAATAGAATGGAAAATGGTTGATGATAGGAACAATAGCACAATTAATAACAAGTTCTAGGAGCTTAGAATTCAATATTGGCGAATTCTTATTGGAAAACTATTAATCTGATTTGGAATGTTCACCAAAGAGAATTTAAAGGAGAATACTGTATCTTATTGGAAAAATTAAATCTTTGTCAATACAGAACGGGTTCAGATTTAAACTCAAACCAAGAAACCAAGAAAAACTTTCATTCTATAGTTTACCTCACAACAAGAAAAAGAATGAAATAAAGCAAATTAGAATGCAGAATAATTTTTGTAATGGTTATCAAAAATTAATTTCATTTTTGTATATATGGGTAAAGGAAATTATCAGAAAATTTAAACTGATTTCAAGTTTACCCAACCTCATATCATAATCCACAAAAATGTAGAATAAAATGATGAAAGGGGATACTATGTTAGATAGTAAGAAGGCAAGAGAATAATTTTCTTTGCATGGAATGAAAAAGAAAAGAAATGGGCTCAATAAGCTTGATGACTTAATACTAGCGACAAAATAAATTACATCAGGTAGATAAATGATCAAATTCAGAACTCGAAATACACAGTATGTAATGAGAAATTTAAATATAAAATTTTGGAAGTGATTGAAAGAGATTTCACAAATACATTCAGCATACTACAAATATTTATATTGATAAAGAAGGAGGGATAATTAACTTACTAGAATAGGAAGAAGGCAAATAAATTACAAGCTAAAAAGAAATTATACATGATGCAAAGAAAAAATGAAAATGTTAGCTGGAGTCTAGGAATATCTACAAAGTACAAATAAAAATGTAAATAAACATACAATAAAATAGATTAACGAAGAATAAACAGAAATAAAAGAAATAAGGATGGAGGAAAGTCTAAATAGATCAGAAAATTACATTTAATGGTATAATGGACTATATCATGCATTTGATTACCTACAACTCTATTGATTGTGAAATTTTATAGAAATAGATATTTAAAGGATTAAGAGATTACTTGATTAATTTATAAGACAATTATGTATATTTGACCCAATAACTTGGGAAAAAATTATATTCAGAAATTTAGTGCAATAAGGATCACTCTAGCCCTTTCTTCTATTATTTGAATAGCAGAGTCAAGAAAAGAATTAGATGGGAGGTGGAATATTTTCCTCAGAAAGATGGAAAGAAACGAAGTTACTAGAAACCATAGTAATTCTCCCTTATGCAGATGATGTAGTAATAATAGCAAACCAAGATATGGTTCATATGAGTGAAAAAATCTCATAGAAATAGCTGTACATTTAGTTTTAAAGGTAACTTTTAGAATAGTTCATATTTGAGAATCTGGATAACAATAAGAGTTAATCTAAAACACAATATGGAAATAACCATAATTTATGCAAAAATATAAATTATTATCGTTAGATGTGCTACCATTCACAAGGTACTGTAATCTGTTAATGTAAATGAAAAGAAAACAACTACAATAAAATGGCAAAAGATAAGAAGGAACTCATTTAGAATAGTATAGGGACTAAACAAGAATTTTCCAAAAAGAGTTGTTGATAGCTTAATTGGTTGACTTGAATTTTGACGAAAAAAAAAATAGATACCTAAGAAGATCATTCAGGAATGAAATTTTTAGAAGGAGTGTATATGACCTTGATGAGGAGGAGAAGCTTATAAAAATTTTCACTTATACAATTACATCTAATTTCAAATATCGATTTTAGGAAGGTACCAATACAAGTGCAGGTAACTGGGAAGGAGGCGCATCAAGATACTAGAAATTTATAGAAACTCAAATGGAATATATTTGCGAAATGAACTTGAAAAGTAAGAAGAAATTAAAGAAATGGAACAACAAGCCAGTCAATGGACCAAAGAAGAAGGGGAAAGAAGAAAGTTCATTCTCTATAAGAAGAGTAGTAGGAAATTCGTTCTTTGAACTTCCAACAAATGGATAAAAAAAAAAAAAGCGAAATCCATAGTAAGAGACTGACATTAATGCACATATGGGATCATCTATGGGGAAAAGTCGGAAACTGAAAGGAAGAAGTAGAGAAGATACTAAAAAGAGTTGAAGAGCATTTGCCAAAAGAATAAAAAAACTATCATTTTTGAACGTGACACTTATGAAAGAAAACAAGCAAAGAAATTAAATGAAATATCATAACATAATTTTCTGTCATAAAAAAGAATATTCCAAACTGCATTTATATGTAATTCTTTATTTGATGAGGAATATGGTCAATTAAGAAATATTAAGCTTGAAAAGTAAATAAATAGAACGAAGCAAAATTTTTTTGATGAAAAAAATAGTATTTAAAATTTAATCTAATAGTTGACCTTCAGATCAAAAGCATACAATCATTAATGAAGAGTTTCATCAATTCAAATTTCAGAGAGTATTAATCAATATAGAGATCTGATTGTTGATGTAGAGGGATGAGAATTCTTTCAAATATTATGGACAGCATTTGGTATAGAAATTAAGCTTGATAATTTGGTTAGTTTAACTTGATTTCATTGCATTTTTTTTTAATTATATTTTAAAGAAAAACTAGTGTAAGATTAACAACATTTCCTTCCAAGCCTCAATTAGGGTGTATTTAGAACTAGTAAAATATATCATTACTTAAATAAATTAATAAAGTCATATTAAAATTCAAATCAACAAGTATTAATTTTATTAAGCATTCAGTTGATACTTTTAATCATTAAAATTTTATTTTTTATATAGAATTAAATAATTCAATTTAATTAATATCAATTAACAAATACTTAGATGGTTATCAATTAGTTAAAATTTTTAAGAAAGTGGACTTCAAGCATAATAATTACTATCTTAGGGATGATAGAACAAATTTATCATCGAATATTTAAAAGAATTTCTTTAAAATTCATAGTGCAACAAAAAAATTATATTCTCAAAAAGAAAGAGGAACTCTTCTAATAATCAACAACACCCTCTAGTACTTAGGAAAACCTAACTGGCTATAAGCACTTGATTAAGACAATAATATAATATGGGGATACAACCCATTTTATTATAATTGCACATTTTCTAAGTTTACTCGGTTTTTCAGTAATATACATTCAAATTAAATACTTTTATGAATATCATAATCCTTCAACTAATATTTTTTCAATTTCTGCTACTCTATTGAGCAAATTTAGAATTATTGTATGAGTCATAAAAAAATTGATATTAAAATTAACCAATCTTAAAATATTACTTTGAGTTTAAATATTATTGATTAAATTATCATTAGATCTTTATTTTTCAATTTTCAGTACTCTAATGTTTAAACCATATTCATCTTAAAGTGTTAATAAAATTTTGCAAGAGTGTTTCTTCTTCTATAAGGTTTAAAATTAAAATTGACATGGATGAATTGGAATTCATCATGAAAATACTTATTTTTAAGAGAAATAAAAAAGAATTAGTATTGGCTAAAAAAATTAAAATGGAAAGGGCAAAATTTCAACCCTATGAAACGTTTAGAAATCTAAGATCAAAATATTATTAATTGAAAGAATGTATAAAGAATAGTTCAAAAATATGGCACAGTAATTAAAATTATTAAATTCATTATTCCAACTTATTTATATTTCAAACTAATTTATTAGAAATGGTAGAACAATAAAATGAGGATATAAATTTGATATAAATAGTATCCAAAAAGAAATTGAAAGTGATTTAATAATGATAATAATATGAACGGAGGTTTTAATATTAAGATAGAATGCCAAAATCAAGAGCATATTAAGGATGTGAATTTAAAATTTTTGATGAATTTTGTAAAGATATAGTTTATATTGTCAGGAATGTATAAAATTGGAATTTATGTTACTCACCCTCAACACTAAGAAGAGTAACTATATTACTTGAACATATTAATAGAGTTGAAAATGAACGTGATAATTCATTTAATAGAATGAACAAATAAATGTATTTGATTTAACAAGTCTTTTAGTTATTTATTAGATCTAAATATCAATTATCAATATTATATCTACTTTGCTTAAATTCTTATTAAATTAATTCCTTATTCTCATAACACATTTAAAAGATTTGAATGCACACAATCAAAAATTGCCTTTAACAATTTGTAAACGAATTCTTCAATTAATACTTTCTATTAATACATATATGTCAATTATAAAATAATTTATTTATTATCGAATATCAAAAATAAACAATGTAAATCAGAAAATATATATACATATGAATAATAAAATATAGTCTTACAAAATAGATTATAAATTGGGTTTAATTCTAAAATTTATTAATTACCTATAAGTACTGCATCAATTGCAACTTTTTGTAAAATGATTATATGTTGCTAAGACTAAAACCTAAAATAATGTAATTATATTTGAATATTATTTTCTTATAATAAAATTTCGAACTAATTATGTTTTGCTTCAGAAAAAATTTTGAAGATGTAATTATTCTCAACTCTAATGATATTGCTGATTTTAATTATTACTTTTAAGTATTAGCTTCTAAGCCTTTTTAGCATTTTTTTATTTAATGAATCTTGATTCACTATTAGTTTTTTCTAATTTTCGACTCTGCATACCACACTTTTGGATAAGTTTGAACTGATTCAAAACTCTTATTTCATAAAGTTACATTCAAACACATATGTGTGAAAAGTAACTTAAAAAAAAAGGAAATTTTATTTTTATTAATATTTTTTATTTCATATCTCATATTTAGTTTCGTGGCCTATCTTGAATCCTTTCTCCTGATTATAACCTCTATACATGTGTACCCATACGCCAACTTTTTTACCATCTCTATATTCGCCATTATCTATTGTTTAGAAGTAAAAATTGAAATCATCTGATAATTCATTCCATTAACCCAATTTAGTTTCGTTACCTAATTAATCATACAATCCTCCACCACTAGAACAAAAATTTTCATAAAATTATTGTAAACTAATAATATATTTTTACATCTTTTCATCATTTCCATTATTATGAACCAAAATATCCCATTGCCCTATTCTTTTGTCATCTTTATATTCTCCTTTATACTTTGCATAAGACTATTTATTGAAAACATTCAATATCTCTACCCAATTACCTTACTTACACTCATTTTCAGCTGCCTCAAATATCCCGCCTCCACTAACACAAATATTTGACATATAATTCGTTTTACACCTTTTATTATATTTTTTACATTTCTGAGAATTATTAACACCAATTATTCCTATACTTAATATCCCATCTGCCAACCTTTTTACCATTTTGATATTCACCATTATAAATTAACTAACAATCCTCTGAAAATCCCTCATACAAGTCCACCCAATTTCCAATTTTTACGCCATCTCCACTTTTGTCGTATGATCCACCTCCACTATCAAAAAATATATTACAATATTTATTTACAATTTTCTGAATTAATTACAATAACTTGCCCTAAACTTTAAATCCCATCTACCAAATTTTTTCCCTTCTGTATATTAGCCATTATAAATTAATTAATTGTGAAGAAAAAATCCCTTATCTAATTCAATCCAACTCCCAACTTTAATACCATCTCCTCTATCATCATATGATCCACCCCCACTACAACAACAAATTTGCATGAATTAAGAAATATATATAATTATTACATTTTTTAGATTTCTTCATCAATGGAAGATCTATAATAAATATCCCAATTTCCAACTTTTTTGCTATTTTTGTATTCACCATTATGAACTACTAATTTGTAATTATAAAATCCCTCTTCTAACTCAATCCATTTTCCTAATTTAATGCCATCTCCATTATTATCATATGATCCACCCCCACTAAGGCAAAAATTTTAATTGATTAAGAATTAATATCATTTTTACATCTTTTAGATTATTCCATTGAAATAAATATCCCAAATACCAACTTTTTTACCATTCACATATTCACCTCTATGAATTATTTAGCCTTCTTAAGAAAACCCTTCATCTAATTCAATCCATCTCCCAATTTTAAGACCATCTCCTCTATCATCGTATGATCCACCCCCACTAAGAAAACAAATTGCATTTGTTGCTAAATTTATATAGCTGATACATTTATGAGAATTTTTTATTGTAGAAATTTATAAAATTAATATCCCATAAACCAACTTTTTTCCCATTTTTGTATTCGCCATTTAAAAATACTTAATTCTTCTCATGAAATCTTTGATGTAATTCAATCCATTTTCCAATTTTAATGCCATTTTGCCTTTCATCATATGATCCTCCACCACTATTAAATCAATTAAATGTAATACATAATGGCATCTTTATAAATGTAATTCCATCTCCCGCATTTTTAATCCTCAAAGTACTCCCCACTTTCATATACTTTGGCTTTACTATTATAAAAATAATTATTTCAAGTTTACTCCCCATAATTAGTAATTGGTTGTTTCCATAAGCCCATCTTTATATCATCTTAGTAGTATCCACCAACCTCTATAATTCTTATTCCTTTCCAAGTTGCAATCCATTTACCTTATCTTCTTTGAGTTGGTCCATATTCACCTTACCATTCTAAATATTTTATTTATTCTATATTCTCAAACATATCGATATTAGTATAAAAATCACTAAAATGAGCTCTAAACTACTTAACATATTTTACTTTCTTATAATTTAATTCTTATATGAGAACATTATTAGGTTACCATTATTTATGGCAACTTGTATTTTAACCTTGATGAATCGTTTTTAGTTTTAGTCGAACTCTTAAACTTCCAATTCTTTGATTGGTTCAAAACAAACTCTTTTACCTTGAGAAAAAGAAAGAGATTTCATAATTAAAAAAAATAATTTAATTTCTATTAGATTAAGAAATTATGTTCTTTTTTCAATATAGTCAAATAAGCAATTTTAAATGAACAAAGCATCTGCTTAAATCGCACAAGAGGTCAAGAAAATGTTTAGGAAACTTCATTGTCACTACAATATGGCAAGAATTTACTATAAATGATCTGATCAAATTTTATTTATTCTTGCAGAAGTTAAATTAATAAACAATATTATTTGAGGTAGCCGCCTCTTTAAGATCGTAATGATTTTCGCATTCTTTTTTATAGTAGTTTCAATTAACATTGATAGTTATGTGCACTTCTGCTAAGCTTGGAGCTCTGAGATTTTCTATTCGTCAATAAGATCTGGTTTTGCATTTCCTTTTATCTCAAATATATCCTGGACATACAACCCTAATTAGCCTCATCCTCTTTATTTGATTAATTGATTAAAGCTCTCAAATGCATAAAAATAACATTAATCTCAAATTAAAAATCTAAGAAATTCTTCACACACTCATCTAATCTTATTATCAATTATAATTCAGGCATATAAGTTGATGTTGATTCGCATTCAAATTAATTGCATACTTAGAAATAGTAGGACATGTATGTGTTCATTTAAATGAAATTGTTATATAACTTTAATGCAATTAGAAAGAGTTTAAATGATTCAATACAATCATATTTTGAAAATAAATAAAATAATTATCCTTCATTTTAAAAATATAACATCAAGAATTTCATTATTATTTTTTAAATAATCCTAAAATGATATCAATAGTATAATATTTATAGAAATAAAGTTATGTTGATTCCCCATTAATTCATTTTAATCCTTTATTGATAAATCTCTAATTCTAAGTCTAAAATATATATAAGATTATTTACTTTTCTCTTGGATTTTAAATAAATCAGACCTTTATAGAACTTTATGAGTATTGAAAAAATGAAAAGTTGTATCCAAAATAACATATGTAAAAGAATAAAATGTGATAAGTATCACTATTGTTCAGAATAGTGAAATTTTTTTAATTAAATTTAATAGCTTTATTTACATATATCAGGGAATGATTTAATTGGTAATTTCTATTAACTTAAATGATTATAAAAAAACTCAGTATTCATCACAAGTATTTTTAACTGCACCTTCATCAATTAATAGAGAAAATATATTTTCATGGCATTTAAGAATTCTTAATTTAGCCAAATAAATAATGTTAAGAATTAATGTGCTTTTTTACAATGAAATGTTAATACTTTTATTGTCAAAATTACTGTTTTCATAAAATTGAAAATTACAATTTTGTTTATTTTTTTTTTAATTCAAAATTGACTTCGTTCTGATTTTTTCTTTCAAAATGTAAAGTTGTTTTTTTAATACATATAAACTAACATAACATGGAATTCAAATTTTTATGAATTGAATTATCTAATTGCAAGGTGCAATTTGTGGAGGAATACCTCAATATTGTAATCAATAATTTTTTCAGAGATCATCAATTAGATTCAATCTTCTACAGTTAAATAAAATTCTATGATGTGTGAAGATCATTTGCTATATTTCACATTACTTAAATTTTTTTGGCTCAAAAATCCCAATTAGATGAATTGAATCTTTGGTTGTGACAACTCCATCAGGAGCTTCATATCCAATACCCCCAATTATGAATATCCCCATCTAAATTAGAGTTTATTTTTAAGTCTTAATTACTATTGCCAAAACCTCCAAATAATATAAATTCATCTGAAATATATTATGCGTAAAATCCCAATTATTATTTTATTAGATAAAATTACTTCAAAGTTTATGAAAATAAAAAAAAGGATTTGAATCACAGTTACCATAAGATCCTATTTTCCATTTATAAGGTGTAAATCCGCCAATTATCTAACCATTATTGTTCGATGATTTAAAGTACCAAGCAAATTTCCTCCTCAATAATCGTGATTTTAATTAATTAATAACATAGTTCATTTCCAAACTATGATAAATGATTTTATTTTCTTTTAATTTTTTCTTAACTTTGTCTTATATCAATCTTATCAAATTAAGAAAATTCACTCTCCAGAATTGTAATAACATTTTGATTGTCATGTGTATTTGCTAATGCATTAAGTATTTCTTAAAATTATCCATTTAAATATTGTCTATATATTTTTTATTTACAGTTATTCTATGTGTAGTTAAGAAGTTCGTTAAATGAAAAGTTTTGCATTGTTAATTCCAAAACCTATTACCCTTATTTAATTAAAGTAAGATTGAAATTGCTTTTGGGCCTATTGAACTGCCTCAGCCTAACTATTTCTATTTACATTATACAGATTTTATATTACAACGTTGAAATAAATTACAAAATTTAGTTGTCCATTATTAAAAATATTCTTGCTTCATCTAATCATATTCATTAATCAATTATTCAATTTTTTATTTTACTCCATTCAACAATCTTTTAAATTTCAAAAAATTAATTATCTAAGCTTCTTCTATTATTATTAGAAACTGGTTGCTCTTCTTTTCATGAGAAAATTTAAGCGATTAAATAGAGTTATTAAGTCATTTAATTATGGTTCCAATAAGCTAATCTAAACTATTTATTAATTAATCTCTGTATATATTAAGTTAAGTAAAATTCTTACTTAAAAATAAAATCACATTTTACACCTTTAATTAATTATATCGACATCTTTTATTTTTATAATTTTCGAAAACGATACTTATCATTTGCTTAAAATAATTCTTAAATACAATAATTTACATAAAATAAATCTATTATTAAAAATCTCATCCCTTATTCAAAAATGCAAGCATATAAGAGTTAAATTTAATAGTTATAATCAAAAATAATTTTATTAGATAAATCTAAATCAACTAATGTATTCAACAAACTTAAGAAAACAATATTTAAGCCCTTTATATTAATGAATTATTTTTTAAATTATATCAGATATATATTTGTTGCTTTGTAAAATAAAATTTTCATTCATTTTTGTATTTTAACATTGAGCGATTAAAAAATACACAGAACGTTAATTAAATTTTAATAGGATTATTCATATTTCTTAATGTTAGTAAAATAGACCTTAACCAACTAAGTTTATTAAAATGGGTTTATAATTAGAAATCTAAAATCAAAGGCCATATGTTTAGTTAATGGAACAGAATCTTAGATTAATCGAAACCATTTCTTCCTTATTCTTCAAGTTGAGTAGGAATGCGAGAAAGACTATATTAGAAAAAAATTGATAATATATGCTTAAGGTATTTCTTATGAGCTAATTATAGGATATATTCAACTAGAGTATGAAATATATTTAATAACAATTGAAACAAGGGTATTTAAAGTTTTTCTAAATAACAGCAAAGTTTAGCTTTGTGCATTATTTATTGATTTAATGAGCACATATCAAAAATAGCTAAAATTCACCAACTAAAGAATTCTAGTCTCATACACTGAGTTAGGATGAAAATTTTTAAATCGTAATTTAATAGAAAATCTTGTTTAAATTAACATAATGAATTTTAATTATAGATATCAAGAAGTCATTTTCATTTTTTAAAGATTTAATTTTCTTTATTATAAAAAATAAAATAATTTTGAAGGAAGTAGTTTTTAAGCATGATACTGAAATTGCTTTAGAATGACATTTTTTCTACATGTAAATAAAAAGAAAAATTTCTATTCATATTTCTAAGTCCATCCTTTAATACTTCAGAATCTAACTTTTGTTTATCTTGCCTCTATTAAATATAACTGTACTCAAAATTTCAAAGTGCCCTACCATTCATATTTGAAAAAAGTATATATATTTTTCGATTAATTTCTAATTCAAAATTTACATAGTTTGAAAGCATATATCATAATAAAGTCAAAATTATTTGACTGAGATTATAATCCGCAATAATTCAAGGAACTTGAGTGATTTACATTACAACTATTTATACATACAAGTTCAATTTATTATTCTCTCCATAATGATATTAGTTGTATTTTAAAATAGATTTTTGAATCATTAGATAGCAATAGGTTGAAAGAATTCTTTTCTTAATTAATTTATAAGGCAAAAACCTACTAAACTATAAAGAATTGTGGACCTAAATTACTTATTATTTCTAAAATTGAATATTATTTAAATCAAATAAAGAATATAAACTAATAACAATTATATCATTTTGGACTAGAAATCATTAATTTTTTACCATTATCGTCCAAAACAATCATTAGGCTGCTATAATTTTAATTATTCTATTATTCCTATTGCTTTAGGATCTTTCTTTGTTTATTTTATGATATTTTATTTAATAATTATTATAACTGATTTATGAAGTCAATTATGATATTTGAAGCAATAATTAAAGAAAATAATCCAATATGAATCCATCCTAAGATGTAGATAATTCCATCGTCAATTTATTAATTATAAGGGAAAAATGAGGAAGTAATAATTAAAAATGTTAATTCCCTGACCAAATTTTTTATAAGGTCTAATTTTTATGTGCATGGTTAAACGACTAAGAGATAATAAAAGTAGGTATTAGATAATATTGTTAATGATATAATCTAAATTATTGATGAACTAGACAAGAAGCAAACAATTCCCATATAAATAGAAACTTTGATCATTGTAAAAGGTATAAAGAATCTTGACCAATAAGTTGATTTAACATTTTCATAGAATATCTAGTATTTATTTTTAGTTGTTTGTTTATATTATTTCTTTAGTACAACAATAGATTTGTAGAGAAATAAATGTGGCAATATAATTGCAATTAAAGCATTGAAAGAGTTAAAAGTAGTGAACCAATCTTCAAACTGTATTGTAAATTAATATTATGGCCATTAACTATAAGCACTATACATTAATTGGTACTAAGTGGATATGAAAACCTTTATTATTCCTGAATAGATAAAATATTTTGAAGTTTACTAGGAAAATTTGTTTACTTATTTAAGAAGTTGATATATCATTTTTAGTCTACTAAAGTTTACATTTTATAACATCTTATTAAGGAGATAATATCTTAAACCTTTGATTATTACAGATATTGTATACAGTGCTATCGAAGTTAGCATAGTAATGTAAAAAGTTTTCGCATTTACTAAAAAAAATGCATTATTAAATTCTGGATCATCTTTCCTTATACTATTTGATTAAATAAATGGTTGTTTACCAAAGTTTAACTTAGATAAGAAATAATCAATTTGTAATTTATCATAGAGGGGCTAAAAAGATATAACCTTAAAGACTTTTAAATACTCTTCTAAATGAGAAGGAAATGGTACACTTAAATATCTCACATAAGATAATTACTATAAAAGTGCTAGCATGTTAAAAAATAAATCTAAGTTACCTGTTAATACTGATAGAGTAGATGAACCGATGAAAATATATATCATTATTTCATTAAATTTAATTGTACTTTCTAATCTTTTCTATGCATCCAAAGATAAGATTATTGGAGTACCTAAGCTGATGGTTTAAGATAATTCTCTTAATTCCTGATTGTGGTTGTTAACAAAAATTGATTTCAAAAATGAAATAGTTGCATATGGTTCATTTATTTACTAAAGCAGATTTATTTCAATTATGTATTAGACATTGCTTAATTAAAGAGTAGCTTCATTCAAAGGATGGATATTGAAATTAAATTCTGCATTATTTGTAATGTTAAGATTAATGTAGTCCTCTAAATTTATCTTTTCCTTCAATTTGATGTCTTAGTTAAATGAAAATAGTATATTTTATACCTTATCTTTTTTCTAAGAGATATTTTATAGTTAGAATTTCGGAGCTACTTGATTAATGCATTCACTCAGTCCTGTAACATCTGATTAATTACAAATCCAGTCTTTTTCTACCTAACAATTTGAATCACAACCATCAAAATTATCATTGTTACCATCATCACATTATTCATATTATTGAACTATTTAACCATTCCCGCAAACCGATCTGCATTAGTTATTGTATTAATCCCATCCATATTCGCAAATTAAGCATATACCTTAAGCACAAACAATGCATGATTGCTAACATTAGAATCGACAGTTAAAGCAGCCATCCTGTTGGATATCATTCATATCTTCACACTCTTCCTGCCCAATAATAATACCATCTCCACATATTTCATAGCATAGCCCATTAGGATGCAACTCATAGCCATCAGAGCAATCTTAACACATTTTCTAAGTGCAAATATCACACCCATATTAACATTGAATTTAACATTTATAGCATCCATCATATGGTTAAATGTTTCCATCATCGCATTTTTCATCTCCTCCAACAATACCATCTCCACACAGAGTTTCACATTACAAATATATACATTAATTTCCACCATCATCCCAAAGACAATTCGCTTTAAATTAATCCTATTAACATCCTTCCTAAGTTTAAATTGAATTACATGTGGTAATTGTTATACATCCACCATTTGCTTTAGCAGTGCATCCTTGAAAGTATTTTTGGCAATCCAAATGTGTTTAATAATAGATAGGAGCTGATATACATGATTTAAGCACACATCGATTTTCCTCTTCCATCCATTAACAATCCAGATAATCAATAGAGTAAGTGCAAGCTTAAATATTAGTTGCATTTTCACATAATTTTCTTTCAATGCATCTAAAGCCATTACTGGTACATTAATTTCTAGAAAGAGTCATGGAACATTTGTTATCTCTATCATATTTAAAATCCTAACATTTGGCTAATCGACAATAAGATGGTTAACAGTTATAATTATAAGATTGGCATTCAATTAATTAATTAAAATGAGAAGGAGCTGAATCACAAATTGTTTCTGAACATATTTAATTAAGCTAATCCCAAAAACAAGATTCTCCAAACAGGTTTTTTTAATCAGGGGTTAAGCATTAAAACTAGTTATAATATTTGCACATTTTCTATTTAAAAATGCAACCAGATCTATCCTCATTAATTGTGCAATTACTTCCATAATATTATTCGCATAATTAAATATCATAGACAGTATTCTTTGCTGAATTCTTGCAATTGTCTAGAATACATTTATCATCAATCCAACTGCATACCTAATTATTTTAATCAATAACACATTGATATTCATATAAATATTAATTGCATTTAAGTAAATCTATACATGAATATTGTAAATTCACAATTGAAATTGTACAATTTGAGGATATAGATTAGCAATCTTAGTGAGTTTTAACTTCTTGATCAATTTCTGAGCATGAGAAATTGACACATTTATTTGAAGTTGTTTTCCAGTAACATTTCTTTTATTCGTAATCTAAGAAGCAATTTCTTTAAATATTATAATTGGAGCAGGTTTAAGCCAAAGGTTAACAACTAGTATTGTATTTTTTTCTTCGACATTTTCTATGCAAAAGAAATAAATCGCAATTATATTGATAGTAGGTGGTTGCTTATGTACATTTTGTATTTCTAATACAAGTATTATATTATTCATTAATCCTACATAAGGAGCTATATTTAGCGCAATTTCTTTCATTTTAACGTAAGTTCGGAATAAATTAACATTTTGTAAATTCTTCACATCTTCCAGTTTATTGATTGAACACACAAAATGGGGATCTTGGATTTCTTTAACAAGAAATATAGGTCTCTGGCTTTTACCTACCACCAAGAGAACATCTTTTTTACCAGCATTAACCATTAATCCATTGGCACAATTCATATTTTGAATTTCTAAAGCATTAACTTTTTTCTTAAATTTAGTTGCAAAATAATGGTGCTTCAATACATTAAGCAGTTCTAGAAGTTGTTAAGGATGTGCAAGTTGATAGTTTATCCGAACACATTCTATGAGATGTTGAATTTGAAATTTGGGAACAATCTGTTATATCAGTGCAGATACCTACATTCCAATAGCAATATATTTTTTATTGATTTGATGTGAAATACGAAGCTTTGGCACATAATAATTCCTCACTTTCTTAACTGCAAAATCTTCTATTAACACAGGCTTTCTTGCTTTGATCGTATGTACAAGAATCTAACCACAAAATGCATTAATAAGTAGATGTGAATTCTTCATTCATGTTAAAACATGTTCTAACTTGACAAGTCTAAGAATTCCAAGTGCATTACACATTCCTATTTAATGTAATAAAATTGCATTGATGTTCTTAAACACTTCCACATGTGGAATATGTACAACGTGCAAATTAGATAAAATCTAATTCACAGATATTTGAGTAATTCTTACATTCTACTTAAGTAAGGCTCTAAATTAAAATTATAAAATAATACAATCTAATTCCTACAGTCTACTTAAGAGTTTGACGTTATCATGAGACATTGAGTACCATCCCAGGAGCAGAGTTCATTATTTCTTGTTGTTAACTATTAGCAATCATTTTCAGTAAGTGAATTACAACTTTGAGGTGACTCGATACACATTTTTGCATAATATTGATATAAAAATCCCTTTGAAAGGTCCTCATAATTACAATTATGACTTAGAGAACTCGGTTAATTTTTTACTTCAACACAAGTAGAGCCAATTGTTGAACATTTATCCCCATCTAAATTAACATTGCAATCTTCTCTAATAAGATAGCTACTGCAATTAGGTTGTTTTGTTCTGCACTCCACCATTTAAGTTGAAATTGTACAGATATTAGAAAATAAAAAGCAATCCTTATATTCAAGTGGAGTACCTGGATAATCACTACATTTTATAGAAATACATGAATTTACATTCCATTTACAAGGTTGATTATTAATATCAATTTTGCATTCTTTTTCTGATAAATAGTTTTAGCATTCTAATTTATTAGCACATGTAGAACCAAATTTTAAAGTGCATTTCGGATTCCAAGCTTAGCATTCTTCATGGGTGTTAAACTGATCTGTTTCTGGTGCATCAGTACATAAATCATAGAGACCAGAGTCAATTTCGCATCCAGATCCAGATTAATTTAATTTACAAGATGATAGCCATTACCTACATTACAAATTAGTATTAATTGTTATACTTGCATTCATGCAAGTTCTTTTTTCACAATAATTCATTTATGTATTCCAATAACATAAACTATTTAATGAACCAATATTACATTGTAACTCTTCAGTTAATTATTCACATAATGGAAATTGCTCTATGCATCCACCATTCTATTTATTGACACATTTCTAATTATGATACTTAACCCATTCTTAACATTAATTTATTGTATTGAATGAGATGGGAGCATTATTACACGTCTAGAACTCACATTCCGATTTTTCTAAATTCCAATAACATTGTATTCCTTGTAAGGTTGATCTACATTGTTATTAATACTTATATTGATTACAATCTAGATATTATGTTATACATCCATAGATGAATTACTCATTATTTATTACAACTATATTTATGGTGCATCTAACATCCCAATTTTGACAATCTTCATATGAATTTTTTGATAATTAAGCTAATTCGCATCTTTTATGTGCACAACCAGATGGAAGGAAACATTTATTGAAATTAAAATCATAATTGCAGTCTTTTTCAGATAAGTTTTAGCATTCTTTATTGACACAGCTCTTATTCAAATAATTATAAATGCAAAGACTCATCCTATCTTAACATTTTTAATGAGAATCATATAGGGGATATTTAAAATTAAAACATTCCTCTTCAACACATTCACCATTTTCTATGACGCATTTCTTTTTATTTTTATTTTTAACACAACTTTTCAAATTCTTTATTTAATTACAATTTTCAACATTCTAGATACAACCATTCCCCAAAGAACCAATACATTCATAGTCATGAAGCCAACTTATACATTAATCATGATCAAAGTTTAGAGGAGCATCAACACACTCTTTTACTTTGCATATAGATTGTTAATTAATCCAAAAACAAAGATCACCATCATTTTATGTAACTATTTAGCAAGCATCTTATGTTTCTAATTAATTACATAAATTTGGTTTATTCATGCATCCACCATTTCTTTTTGGAACACATTCCTAACTTTCACTTTGAAACAATTAACATTAAATCATTGATTTCACCGTATATGGTGCTTGATCGCAAGTTTTAGAATAGCACCTCCCTTAATAATAAACACAAGTCATTCCTTAATTATCTCTTATACATCCTGATTAAAATTGGTATAAATGACATGACAATCTTTCAATACAATGTATCCCATTAGTTGTACAATTAGGCAAAAATTATGAACATTGTTCATGGGTTCTTAAAAGTTTGTTTGAACACTTTTTTTCTAAACATTATTGTGACTCTTCTTCCCAGAAACATTTAATATTAAGGCTAATTAGATAACATTATTCTTGGAATACATACTCATAGCAATTATCTTTTTATCTAATACATCCACCTTAAATTGAAGTTGTACAATAGTGAAGTTATTCTCTACATTCATTATCAGTAAGTAATGATAAAGGCAAATCTTCACAGCTTTCAATATCCTAACATCTCTATTATTAATTATTTGTTGTTTTCCAAACACAATATTTACCATGGATGTTCTTGTTTTGACAAGCCTCTCTATTATAATATTCTTAACATTCACTTTTAGGAATACAACTTTATCCATTTGAAATACACCAAATTGATGATTATGAACATTTATCCTTTAATAAGCTGTCGCATTTTGTAAAGTCTTAGCATTTACCTAAGTGAAATGCACATCTTTTGCTTAAAATGCACTCTTCTTCTATAAATTATGAACAATATGATGTCATCTCATTATTATATCCAATATTTTTCTGGTATATACATTTTTCTACCATAACGTTCCACAAACATTTTTGAGAATTATTACACTATTATTCCTCCTTTATATGAGCACATTCACAAGGTATATTAATTACCAATTATAGATGAAGTATCAGATATAAGGCAACGAATATAGGTTTCATCTTGATTTGAAAATTACAAAAAAAAATTTGATTATATATACTAGTTTTATATCATGATAGTTGAAATCTAATATTCTAAATGAATCATTGGCTATAAACATTAAAGATTCATTAATTCTTATATTTTGTTATCAGCAAAGAAATAGAGCTAAATCCAAAATTAAAGAAGAAAGCTCGAATATATATATTAATATTATTAGCCAAAAGAATGAAAAATTCAATTTGTATATAGTAAGGAAAATTAAAAAAATTTATTTCTTAACATTATTTATATATAAAAGAAATATTTATTTTGTAATTATTAAAATTAAAGAAAAAGTGGAGAAAGTGATAAAGAAATCTATTCTAAAATATTGATTAAAAGAATGATTAGCATGCATATTTATTGTGAAATAATGTAGAACAAATAAAGAGTAATAATTTCATATTTTAGTCCAAAATTTATGTTCTTTTTAATGAAAATAATACTGAATGTAGGAATATTTTTAAGTTTGAAACTATAGTTGTTGAAGGCACTTTATCAAAAAATAGGATTTAATGAAATCAAAAACTTTTGATACATCAAAGGTTTTGAAGAACATTCAAACGCGAGTTTAAATAATAGATAATTAAAGCATTAAAACTTTAAATTTAATCTTTAATCTTTAATTAATAACGAATAACTGAATTATGATAATATTTGTTAACTACAACTTATAAATTTTTTTTTATTTATAAATTAAGTCAATATTTTAAATAGACTTTGAAAGAGAATTCATTTTATCAATTCTGATATTTGTTAATCACAATACATTTTTCAATCTATTTTAATTAATATTTTTGCTTTTGTTTAGTCAGATAAATTTAAATTGTTTGGATTTTTAATTTTTGGTTCAAATGGACAAATTAAATTCTCTCCCTTACGGTGGAAGATGATTTCCTAGATATCAGATTTCAGAAAAGAACTACTTTTTACAATATTTTAATTAAATAAGAAGGATAGGGGGGTTTAACTAAACATCTGAAGAAATCTGTAAATAGTTCAAGAATTACCTTGAAATTTATATAAACATGGGCACATGTAAGGATAGGAAATAAGAATATTCCTTTAAATTCACTAATGGATAATAAAAGAAATATATAGATAACCTAAGAAAATAGATAAATTCAACTTTCTTGTAAAAAGCTAAAGCTAAGGAAATTGATATTGTTCTATATATACAAGGTTTCTTTAATTTATTCTATCATGAAAATTAAATATCTTTATGATAAGAAAAGATTCAAATAAGCAGTTTAAAATTCAGATAGATTTTTGTAAAAAATTAATAATTTCTTATTTTTCTAGAGATTAGCTCGTCAAAGAAAATTAAAGTAGAAAGAAGAGATTTTTTTTCAAACTGATATCGACTCTGGTCTATTATGTCTAATTTTAATTCTTTGGAGTTGATCTTGGATATCTTTAATCATAAGCAATAAAAAAAGAATGTACAATCTAAATGAAATGTCTCCTTGTGAAGATAAATCTACCTCTATTTAATCATCATCAAATTGCATATAAAGTACTTTTAAGCAAAATAATCTTTCTAATCCATATAAAGGTACTATTGCCTAAATGAAAATGTACAAACAAATTGAAGGAATATAAAATATTAAAAAGAAAATAAAGAATTTGTAAATTATAGAGATTATAATGACATAATGAAATTGCCTTTGAAATGTTATTAAGATAAAATTCTCTTAATTATAGCAGATTTTGCTTCTTTGGTAATGTTCTTTTGATTGCTATTCAAAACCATTAAAACAGTTAAAAAATTATTGTTGAAATACTTCTGAGTAAATAATTTCAAATCATTTTTTCTAGTTGCATCCTAAGGTCTACTCGAAATACTTTAAAAATTCGCTTTAAATCTCTGTAGAGTGATATTAATATTAGAGTTTTATTCAAATGAGATATGCAAAATCAATTTTATATTTGTATAAAATATTAATTTAATAAAACAATATAAGATAATGATTAAATAATCAATTAAATATATCTTGCATAAATTTCAGAATCAAATCGTCAAAATTTTTTTCACAATCCTCCGATATTCTTTTTGTAATTGTTATTTTTTCATAATTCTTAAATAATTCTACAAAAGGAGTTTGAATATTCTCATAGTTAATAGACCAATTCCATGAAATTTACTTATACTAAATACAAGTACACTACTTTTCACTAAAATATTAATCACTCCATTATTTTATTAGTTGCTTTAAATTTGGTGCTTTGTTGATATCATCAAAATATTAAAAGCATTTACTTTTTTTTGTTAATAGTTACACTCTTTCTTTCCACCCTTCTTTCGTTGAACTTTATTCCTTGGAAATTAAATTTTCATAATATCTCCATTAACTGTGATTTATAGAAACTAATATTGAATTAAATTTGAAATATAATTGCTATGAATGATATTATTACTTCATGAAATTTCCAAAATTCTTAAAATTTTAATAAAACTCTTCAAAGTCTTAATTATATAATTTTTTGTTGTTTATTAAGGATTAGAATTACTCAAATTTTTTAGAATTTTACTCAATGAAGTCATTTAAGTCTTTCATAATTTTTTCAACAGATTCTTTAAAGTGCCCAAATTCTAAATGATATTAATAATAAAGACAACCATTGTTCATATATGGTACACTTTGTAAATTTATAAACTCTAACAGTTATTGTTGAAAGTTTTCAAATTTCTATTAAGATTCGATTTGAAAATTATCTCTTTTATACAAATCCAAGAACATTAACTTCATTTTTTGCGCAAACACTGAAAAATCAAGAACTTTTAAAAATTCATCATACTTACACTTCATCTCCTATAATATATTGCAATTAATTTTATTTGATAGATAATCGTTTAAAAGTAATTAAAAACTATTTTTTCCCATTTGCCAAAGAAATTGATTTTGTTAGTTTTAATTTTCTAGATATAATACATTAGTATTAAATTTGAGATACCAAACATTATTTATTTTTGGTATCATTTAGGAAATAGGAGATGGTATCCCATGAATGATTTCTGTTTTAGATTATAGTATTTGTTTTTGTTTAGGATAATCATCTGTACAATCTGGAAATAGAAAGAGTATATTATTGATTAATATATTTGGGAATTTACTTAAAATAGATTCCAACATAAAAAATGTTCCTATTTACACTTATTATGGAATAACAAAACCAATTAGTATATTTTGATTAAGTTAAGTTGAATTAGATATTCCATTGAATATTCTATTGAATATTTGTTAATCCTCATAAATTAAATCATCATTATAATCTGGTGTATATATAATTCTAAGTCCTGATTATCCATTTGATGGTCTAATATAATAAACTTTCATTTCTTCATATTCATCATTTTATTTATCTTTACTTATATCAATCTTATCATCTATTTCAAACCTATAACCATCTGAAAATTCAACATCATAATAATAATTTACAAATAAATTTATTAAATTCTACTTTTATGAATTTTAAGTTCCTATTAAAATTATTGTTTTATATTCCTCAATACATCCAATTTGTTATTTGTAAATCAAAGGAAATTAATAAATATCAAGATCATTCTCCTTCCTAATTAAATCTAAATTCCTTAAGGTTTTCAATTATTTTTATTGCTTAAGGCCTTAATTTTCAAAATCAATTTGTTATTCCTTTTGTATTTGTTATTCCTAGCCAAAAGTTTATTATTATTTATCATTAGTGATATGCAGAGATGGCTATGCCTTAACCCATTTGTCTTTTGAAGATGCTTCAACTATAGAAAACATCGAAGAAATAGGTTCCATCAAGGTCTCTAGGTTGGATGTTAGTGAATTAAAAGATGATGATAATTACTGGATTTTTAATAAATTGCAAACTTACTTTTCAAACTCATCATTCACGATTTCATCAAATGATTTTTCTAAATCCTAACCCATATTCGATAAATATTTTTGAGCTTAACTAATTATTTCAACAATCTAATTAATCTTTTACTAATATATTTCATAGCTTTAGGTTGTACTTTTTTTCCATTTTGTAATTTGTTGAATTGATTTCAGATCTTTTTTATGTGAATTGTGCTTTATAACACAATCTAAACAACATGATCTTCTTATTTAACAATCTACATTGACACAGATTAATATTATCTCTTATTAATTATGATCTTATTCTTAGCACTCTAGCATATTTTATTAAATCTTATTTTATTTAATAATGATTTTTCTAATTAATTTGAATTTTGAAGCATTATTAGGATCTTTAAAAATTTTAATCTTTTTCCAATTAAATTACCATTTTTATATAATGTGTGGATATGGAGTAAGTTTTGAATATGAAAAAATTAAAATAGATAAGAATTAAGCATAATACCTAATAGTGTACTATTAGGTATAAATTTTGAGTAAAAAATTTATTCAAAAATTATTAATAAAACTCATAATTGTTAAATCACAAAATATAAATTTTTTTATAATGATTTCAAATCCATTTTAAATGTAAAACAAAAATGTTATAATACAACTATAAATTTAATTATACGCTTTCATAGTCCAAAATCTAAAAGACAATAATATGAATTGTAAAATCATTTAAATAACTCCATTATTGTATTATGAAAATGGGTATTATTATAAAGGTGTAGATTTTTAAATTTAATTTGAGCTATTAAAGATCTTGCACAATTTAAAAAAAATTTCACTTTCAATATTCAAAAAGTCAATAAATAAAAACAGATTACAATTTTAACAGATGAATTTGAGACTCCTGTTTAAAGCTTGAATTGCTTTTCCAAAATAATGTTCTAGAATAGTACAATTAATTTGGACATGCTATTCATGTGGTGTGCTTAATATTAATAAAAATTAAGTTTAATATATCAACTAAGACTAAAAAGTGTAGAATTATAATTGAATTGTATATTAAGCATTACTTGTATGGTTAACGTGAAAGGTAGACAAATTTTAGAATTAAATTAGAAAAATATTTAATAACTTGAAAATGTTTATATATATTAATAATATTAATAATCCACAAATCAAATATTTTTAATATACATTCTATTATTATAGAACAATCAAAATATTAACTTTTATAATATAAATCCAGGAGTTATTACAACTTTCAATAAATATTTGCTATACTAAGATATTATGATTTAGATCTTAGGATGATCGTAATAACCTTTTTAATTGTCTAATTACCACAGATTTATGAATAATTGCACTCATTTTATAAGTACATTGTAAACTATAATGAATGGTAATAATTTGATCAAAAGTAAAATCTCCTGTTGAGTTTACTTTGGTTCCTTTAGATGCTAGAATGGCTTTTTAGTGTTGGAATAAGAATTCATAAAAGTTTTATTCTGAAATAAGTAAGTAAATAGGGAATCTCTCTTGCAACCTGTGGCTTTCCTAATATATAATCAGCTGCACATAAATAGTGTATATCTAAAATCGTAAAGAGAGTTGCACCCAAGAAAGTAGATTATTGTTGAAAATCCTTTGATCTTTCAGAGTAAAAAAACGAAGAAGACCTTAAGAATGGTTTTTTTATCTGTTTGATATTACCTAGAGAAAAATCATCTGCTAACCGGGATATAGGAGGCCATTCAATTACTTAATGTTAACTCTAGGTCATAAATTAGGGTGGGTTACAACTGGGAAAATGAATTTAAGAAAAAAAGAATTATGTCATCAGAAGGATATTAAAGAATTGATACAGAGAAGCTCACTTACAAAATGTTTGCTTTAAAGGTTGATGTATCAGCTCCCACGTTATGCTTTCTTCCTGAGAACTACAATCCCAAGAGTGAAACTTAAAAGTGTGCTTCTGAGTCTTCACAAACACTAAAGCATTTGGTGTTATACTTCGACAAGCAAAAAACCATTTCCACTTTTTGAGAAGATATCATAGATATTTGAATAAAACCTAGTTACTTTACACATTTACTATTGTCAGCTTATATCTAGAGATAAATTATTGCCCTTTGAACATGCTTTTTGTGCTAAGAACTATAAGTGATTATAGTAGATTTAAAAATATAGGTGAGAACTTGTAAATAAAGTCGTTGAATGAATTTATTGATTTATACAATGAGTTTTATGCTAACTTTATATTAATTCTTATTTGCTAAATCTAGTTTATTAATCCAATTTATTAAATTCATAGAAACAATTATTTTAATATATGAATCCATATATGTTTAATATAAATTGCGTAGGGGGGCAAATACAGACTCAATATGTGCTTCTAAACAATTACAGAATAATTATTATATACTCTAAATTTTATGTAACAAATTCAAATAATAAACCAATTTCATCATCAATTTATTTTTGCAATAAAATCTATAAATGTTGTTGAAGGAAGTACAATTATGTTATTTCTAATAGAGTATGGTATTAATTTGAAGCATTGAACATTTCTTCTATATATTATATTTAAGTTAATCAAAATGCATAATCGAATTTATTAGCTATTTTAACTACAAAAAGTTATACAGAATAATATTTCTTGTCTAAGTGATCGAGTGATAACTTTCATCTAACTTCTAAGAGGGAGATTCTAGCGTAAATTTATAATAAGATTAGTTATAAAAAGTTTATGAAAAATAGAAATCTAGTGTGATTAAACTCGTATTATTTCTGATTAATATACTTTAGGTAATATATTTATCTAGCCTTGATAAATACCTTAAGTGGTTGTAATTATATTAATATTACATCATGTTTATATATATAAATCAATAAAAATTATTTGAATTTTGATCACATGAGCATATTGTAAAATAAGAATAAAAAAGAGTAAGGGAAATAACAAACTGTTAAGAAAATACGATGTCTTTTAAAATTATACCTTTTCTAATACATGTTACTAAACAAATTGTAAAATTTTGTTGATAATAAATAGAGAACAAATAAGTCTTATAATTAAATTTGCAATCTAAGTTTCTAAAATTCGTGTAAATGATTCTTATTCCTTTTCAGAGAATAAGAGTAATTCTTAGTATTAATTTGAAAATGAAATTTTGAATAATACAGATTGCAATTAAAGTTTAAATTAAGATATCATATTTTAAAATTAGTTATTTAATTATCGAAGTAACATTATGATTATGATGACCTAATTGATGAATCCGATGCATTTAGTTATATCTTGTCTTTTATGATTTGTTTTACGATCTTTGATTTTAATTACATTTAATTCATTTCAAATTGGATCTGAATCGAAAGGGTTAAATATTGATATTATTCATGATTATATCATAATAAATAATTTAAAGAATTTTTTAAGTGTTGTAATAGTTTATGCTAAACTTGATAGAAAATGTAAATGTTCTTATAAGGGAGATTTCAATAATACTAGGAATCTAAGAGGGATCAATTTTGGACAAAATTTCTAATGCATCTTAATTTAAATATATTTCTAATTAATGCTATTTAATTTATAGAATTAGAAATGATTACATCATTTGATCACCAGAAAACCTTCATCACTAAGTCTATCTATTTTTCAGCACTTTATGTTAATTTGATAAGATTAACTTTAATTAATCTATTGAATATCTCAATATAAGCTAAATCATTAGAGTATACTAATTTTTTTGGAAATTTTGTTTACAAGAATGGTATAACTATTAAAATGTATGGTTTAGATTGGATAGTTTATAACGGAAGCGGAGTCACAAATATTTGCGGAACTACCTAGATATTTGGTGGGTGTAATTCTTTTTATACTGCTACAACTATTATCAAAAATATTTAGTTGCCTTGTCATCAAACTCTGTCATTTAATTTTCGATTTTGGCAGTAACAATTACCATTTATCTTAGTTTGGATAATTGGGGGAATGAAAGATTGGAGGTCATAGTAGATAATCGTTTAGTTTTTACTGGATAATACAGTTCTGAATCTTCTAAACCTAGTATTTGTTGTACCTCAGGTTCTGCTTATGGCGATGATGTAAATTCAGTAAATATCGATATTGATCATTTGAGTGAATTCGCTACAATAAAAATTATTGGATATGAGTATTATTGGGGAATATCTGATTTTTAAATATGGGTAGGTTAACAAAATTGTTTTCTAGAAGATTGTGTTCATGGTTGTAATAATTGTATTAGGGGTAATTGTGTTGAGTGTTAAGAAGAATGGGAATATGATATTTTATAATAAACATGCTTTCCTTTATGCGGAGACTAAATAATTATAGATAATGAAGAATGTGATGATGGGAATTAATAAGAACATGATGGTTGTTTTTAATGCAAATTTTCTTGCCCATTATTTTGTAAATAATGTAAATTTGGCTAATGCTTATAATGCCAGTCAAATTATATGTTAATTGATCAAACATGCAAAGAAACAAATGAAGTTTAAGATTAAAAATCATAAAACAAATTCTCAATTTAGATTTCTAACTTTTTAGATTATGGCAATTATTATCAAAATTTATTAAATGATTAATTTGCTAATCCTTTACCAATCTCTAATTTTGATTGTAATTTGTAAACACATGAGATATTCGAATATTATTATCTTCAATGTGAAACAAAATTAATATAAAATTGTTTACTTAGTCTAATGGATATTTGTCTGGAATGTGAAAACTTTTATAAGTTATCTTGGAATAAGAAAGAATGCATTCCTAAATGCGAGGATGGAATTACAGTGCAATATGAATTTTGTGATGATTAGAATAATATATAATTTGATGGATGTTATAAATGCTAGACAAGTTGCTAATTAGAATGCAAAGAATGTATAGAATAACAATGCTATGTATGTATTGATGGATGGTAAATTATTGATAATAAATGTTATTAAATCTGCGGAGATGGTTTGCTAGCGATTTCTTCAAAAGAATAATGTGACGATGGAAACTATAATCCTAATGATGGATGTTATGATTGTAAATTTATATGCGATCAAAACTGTTTCTAATGTTCTACTTCTAACCTTTGTTTTTTATGTTTTGAAAATTTCGAAATGGATGAGAATAATTTATGTAAACCAATATGCGGCGATGGAATCATTGTATAAGGATTAGAAGAATGTGAAGATTTTAATGATATTCCATATGATGGTTGCTATTAATGTATGTTTCAATGTGAATTTAATTGTTCTAAATGTTTGTAAGGTATTTGTTAAGAATGCGAGGAAGGATATGATTTACTCGTTGAGGGATGCAAAAAAGTAATCATTGCTTAAGAAATTGATGATTTAGAATAATCAAATAAAACATAATCATGCGGAAATGGAAAACTATAAAATTCAGAGTAGTGTGATGATGGAAATCTAGAAAATTATGATGGTTGTTCAAGTAGTTGTGATATAGAGGAACTTTGGATTTGTAATTTAGAATAACCAAGTTCATGCTATTTAAAAACTAAATGTTACTTGAATTATTTGAATCAAACAGAAGAACATTAATTTGTATTAATGTAATTTTCTAATCAAGTTAAATAGAGTTCTAAATCCAATTTTACTGAATCAATTTTATCATAAGTAATCAATTTAAATTAAGATCAATATATAATAACTATAAATCCAATAGTGGATGTTGATGAAACCTAGTTTGTTATGGCTGAATATGAATTTGATATCTTATTTTTTAATAAGATTTCAATTTAACCAAATTTTACTATCTCAATCAACTCATTATTAATTGATAGCAATAATATGACAGTAAATATCTCAACTCAGACAATTTTACTTGAACAACCTAAATTTTTAAATTAGGACTAAATTAATGTTGCGAATAAATTTTAAGCCCTTGGTAATGCATTAATGATAGGCTTAGGAGCCTTAAGTGTACTAATGTTATTTTCTGGAAATCTATCATAATGCTTAGAAATTTTTGACATTTTATAATTTTAATCATATTTAAAATTCATAAATGTTGCTTACCCTTAAAATCTCTAAATATATTTACGCTCATCTGATATTGTATCAATTAATCCAATTCTGATAACCTTTAAAATAAGGGATGTTTTTCAAACGATAATTGAAGATAACTTTATTAAAAGCATAGGCAAATTATAAGAGTATTAAATTAATGCTGATCTATTAGTAAATATTTAGAGCTAGTTTTCATAAATCAGCTTAATTGTTTTGCTGTATATCTTTTTATATTTCTATAGAAGATTCTTTAACAAATATTGTTTTAATTCTAAATTTATATATTTTATTAGTTCTAGTAAATCCAAAATTTTAGAGATCATAGGAATTAAATTATATAAATTTAATAAAAAATTCATCAATCTAAGAAACCTATATAATATGAAAGGATTGAGGCAAATCTGCTACGCAAACGCCTGGGATTTGCTTTTTAAAGTTATTTTATTTGTGACGTCGAACAATTAGTCAGGATATAGATCAATAATCTCTTACTTTATTAGTTTTGGAATTTTGAGTTTGTTTACTTTGTTCTTATGTTTGCATTTCAAAGGATTAGATAAATCTCCTGATATTTCTGAATTGAGAAATGAATAACATGATGGTGTATGTTTATTAAAAAAACTGTTATTCATCTTGATATTAATTAATTTATAAGAAAACGACATCTTTTAATGCTCGACGATAACCATTTTGATTTTCTCTTATATTGGATTCTTATTCATTATATAAGAAAATATCCCAAAGATAGAATTAATTGGCATAATTTGGATGGAAGCCCCAGTAATGCTTTTTACATTTACAAGTTTAATGTATTGTTCTGATTTTTCAAATTATTTGACAACTGATTTCTAAATTTTGTTAGGCTTTGGTTAAATTGGAGTTTTGATTCTTGGCTTATTAGGACCTCTTATTAAATTTGGAATTAAACTCCACAGAGATCTTTAGGAATATTTTAGAACAAAGAAAAATAAAGTTCTTATCAAATTCCAAATTAATAAAATATTAGGATTTGAGCAAATCAATTGAATTATTTGTTAAAGAATTATTGAATATCATATCATAATTTAATATAAGGATTAAATTAACTATTTTTGTTTGAAAAATATTCTCATTTCTAAAGAGTATATTATAATAATATAAATGAATTTATAATAACTAAGAAGAGTGATAAATTTCTTAAGCCAAAAATCATAATTGTAGGACACAATTTGTCCAGAATATAAAAAATATCCTTCTTAAGACATAAATAAATTGTGTATGACAAAAATTTAGAGGATAAGCTACGAATTTTCTTTTAGATATTTATATGTTACTAAAATTTCTGTTTTTTATTGTGGTTTTAGCGATAATCCTACTAAACTATGTTTTTTGAATTTAAACTAAATATTTATACTTTTTCTACAATTCTATATCAAACATAATCATAATCTTCTATGCCTAAATAATAAAGGAATTCAAGAAGATTCTTCAATTAACTGTTATGACAATTTTTGTTTTGTGGACAACCATCGTAAGTAATTTTAAAGCAGAAAAATAAAATATGATAGTTCTTTAAAAATCAGGCCAAAAAGAAAGTATTTTTTGAGGAGGATATTCAGCTTTTTTCGATTTAGCAATTTGTATTGAAATTCAAAGATATTTAGCCTTGATTCTTGTTACCTTTGAAAAAACAACCGATGTCTTTTTTAATAATTCCATTTGGAAAGTAGGATTCTATGGATGGAGCATCTCAACAAGTAATCTTTGAATTGAATGTGTCTCAAAGAGCTGGGATACTTTAAATGATGTTCCTTTTCAATGAAAATTTCATAATGGGAAAATGCAGGTCTGTTAATGAATTTTTTGTTTCTACCAAAAGATGAATTGTAACTTCATATTATCTAGTTGGCTTATCACAATTTATACACATATTAATCAACAAAACCACATATGAAGTAATTTTAAGAAATTGTATTTATTTGGAGAATAAATTTAAATTGGTGTTATCCATGTCTCTAATAATTAGTAACACTAACATCTAAACACCTAATATGCATTATCAAATTATAAAATTCAATAATTCAAATAGTTAGATATCAATAAAAGTTATCTCTAGTTTAGTCATGTGAGGATGGCAAAGATGAAATGGAGGTGCACTATTTTTAAGTTTTAAAACTTATAATCCGCTTCCAAAATTTATCAAATGATCATGGGGATGTAAATTTTCATACATAAGGGTTTTCTTCAAATCATCAAATATGATGTTATATAAATAAGGTTGCAAATCATCAACATTAATGTTACCATACATTTTTATGCTAGATTCTAAGGCTTTGTTGATTTTCTAACTCCCAAGCATTTCAAACCAACAAAAAGTATGATTCTAAAGGCTGGTTTTACAAAAAATGGGAGTTATATCTCAAAAAATCTAAGATTACAACAGGTCTTAAATTTGGCGATTGCTGTATCAATTAAATCTCTCTTGCTCAACACACCTCCATTATATATGAACAAACCATTTTTATTATTTTTAGACACGATACTTCAGTAGAGAATGTTGGTACTGGCAATGGCTGCCCCATACTTCATTATTGTAGAATACCTAATAGAATGAACTTCATTCTTGATTCAACTGTTAATTAAGAATAAATTGTAATGATTATTGATATTGATAAGGTTTAAGGACCACACTTAATATTCCTGTTAAAGGTTATATCAGAATTTGTTTATTTTAATTATATGCAGACAATGAATTAGAATTGAAAGATCTGTTAATTGAATATTTTTTGATTTGTTATTCACCATCCTTTAAGTGTCGATATTTAATATAATTTTATCCAAAAAGGAGTAGCATAACCTATATAAGTTGTAAATTTGAATAAATTGGAAAGAAATAAATTAAATAAACCCTAAGGTTTGTTAATTAGAAAGGGACATACTTAAATATAAAGAATCTATATTAAGATTACAAAATGGATATCTTAGGAAGTCTAAGCATTATCATCCTCAATTAGTTTAAAAAAAGTCTAAATCTTGTAGATATTCTTGTTAATTTGAGTGAAATTTTATCAACTCGTTCTATGGAGGTTAAAAGTTGAACTCTATTTATCAAATTTATTGCCATTCTCATTAAGCATAAACTTATAAAAATAGTCAATAAATATCAGATTAAATATAAACGAACACATTAAAAAATATAAAATAATAACTTAGAAGCATGAACCAAATATATATCAGATAAAACTCAAAATCTTACAGTCATCTGTTATACAATATTCATCCATTCATATCCATCACTCTCTATAGACTTTTGAAATATTGTATCAGATAAATCAAATTAATAGCCTTCTTCAATAGGAATTAAACAATTTGAAGCTCTTATTTAAGCTATTAATTCTTCTTTGGATGTTTCCTTACCAACAAATAAAATTGACTTTGCTTTAAATATTCTTAAAGCTCTTAATAGGTCAATTTTATCTTGTTCCTAATCATCACTTAAATCCAAATGAGTCACAACTAGGCTTATTTAACTCTAAAATTTTTTAAAGTAAGGATAAATATTCAATATAGATCTTTTCATTAAATCAGTTCTTTCAAATTTTACAACAAATAATAATGTAGCCACTCTATTTGGTTTACTATCAAATATACTTTGAAATTCTTGTATTTGTTTCTCTCTATATTCTAAATCTTTTTTTAAATCAAAAGACTTGTCTCTATAATTTCATATTACAAGATTTCTGAATCATTAATTTTATTATAAAATGATGTTTTACCAACACGAGCTTCTCCAATTAATAGAGCAATAGGGTATTCTTTAGGATGACCAGGTTGCTCACACGGTGCAGGATGTTCAGGTTCTCGAGGTAGGACAGTTTCTGCAGGATGCTCAGGTATTTAAGGTAGAGGTTAGGGTTTAACAACATTTTTCAAACTTTTTAGTAGAAGCATAATAAGTTTTTTTAATACCTAATGAGGCAAAGAACATCTTATAAGAAATATTATAACTAAATTGCTAAGAACGATTAGAAAGGTTCTGATGAATTTATGAATTACGCTCAAAATAAAAGATACAGTTAAAAATGCTGCTTTTAAATAATGAATACGTTGTTAATAAGCTTCTTTGAATTTAGGTTATAGATACAAATAGAGCTCTATATAAGGGTTTAATTAATTGGATATTTAAATTTGATATGATTAAATTAATTAGCCATTCTTTTTTTCCTCCTCTTTAATACAGATTAATAGAGAATAGTAAATATTAGTAAGCAATAATTTAATCTTGTGGATCATAAGTCTAATAAAGTTGCAAATTTATGAATATATTATACTAATCTCATAATGTTTGAAATTAATTATGGAAGAATATTACTAAAGCATAGATCAGATTAGTCATTGAGTTTAAGACCAATCTAATTTTGTTATTTATCTTGTTTTAATTCAGGTTATTCTTCAATAATTGGTTCTTCAATTTTTTCAAGCATTTGAATAACTTCTTCTATACTTATTCTTTCTATAGATTTAACCAACTGTAATTTTTTATCCAATTTTTGAACAATATTTTTTATAATAATTCTTTTTACCATTATTCTAATTTGTTTTATGCACTTATTTTTTAATTAATCTATATTTGCTGAATATTTTGAATAATTTGAATCATTTCAGAACCTTCAAATTTTGCAAAAAATAGTTCATTTGTAAATACTTCATAAAACAATATTCCCAATGACCAAATATCAACAGAAGGATCATAGTCTGTGCCTGCCATAACTTCTGGAGCCATATATTGATATGTTCCTTGCATTTGGGTTTAAGTTATCTACTCAATTGTTTTTGAGATTCCAAAATCTATCAATTTGATTTTATTATCTTTTCCTATTACAAAATTATCTGGTTTTAAATCTCGATGAAAAAATCGTAATTTCTGTAATTCCGAAACCCCTTTGGACATCTATAATATTGATAATTGTATACTTCCAAACAAAGCCTTCTTTTATCAGATTGACTTTATAATTCAAAGCGTTGTCCAAGTTCCATAAAAATGTAAACTCCATTGTTGTTCTGTTCAAAAGCAATCACTTCAATGATATGATCAAATTTATTCCCTTTAAGTGCAGTCAAAATCTGTTTCTCATGTTGAGTTATTTTTTCTGAGACCTTGAGGGCAACTACTTTACCATCATCGATTTCAGCTTAAAAAATCAATCCATTAGCTCCTTGTCCGATGACTTTTCCTAATGTCACCTGAAACTAGCCAATTTATTACATAATTCTATAATTTTATTATTATTAAGGTTTTGATTTCGAATTAATAGAATAATTGTTCCAAAGAGTGAAAATTTTTAAATAAGTATGTGGTTTTGCTGAGTCTTGAGCAATATTATGCAGATGAAGGTTTAGGTAGTTTATTGTATATTATCAGCATGCTTATAAAATGGAAGAAAGGAAAAGTATTCGCAGCCTATAGAAATTTAACAGAGCAATCTCAATCAGATTAATATATATTTGAACTTTAAATATTTGATATTCATGTAACTCAACATTATATTTTGTATTTTTCAATAAAAATATTATATAAACCTTATCAAATCTGTCAAAGTACATGATGAGGTTTATACGACAATTTTCAAATTTACTTCAACTTTCCATTCAAAAAGAATTCTCTTTGATACTCAATCGATTCATCACTAATAGAATTTTTTATAAAAACATCAAACCTTACTTATGAATAAGATTTCTTTAAAGCATTCATTCAAACTCAATAATCGAACATTGTTGATAGTTTAATAAATTCTCCTTTTTATGAAAAATATAATAATCTGTCTAAACTCGTTATTAGTAAAAGATGATGTGTTTTAAGATTGAAACAATTTTCTTAGTTTTTGAGATATTTTAAGTTTTTGTTCTTCTTTAAAATTGTTTTGAATGTTAAAGAAATGAAATTGTATTTGTTAACATAAAAATAAATTTTATCATTATTTCTCGTGTAATAGAATTCTATAAGGCCTTATATCTTCCGAATCGTTAACTAAAAAATAGCCTTCCCTTCGCATAGATTAGGATTGTCTTATTTTTCTAGGATTAGCTCTTACCATAATAATAACAGCATAAGTTTTATCCCAAATTCTCTCATATGGGGCATAGACCAATGCCGATTCTATTGAATCTGCAAAATAAATTCCTACATCAACTTTAGTTGTCTGTCCAAATTCATCTTGGCATATGTCATTTCTATAAAACTAAAAACGTCCAGGTTGAAAACCATTTTTCACTATTTAACTGACATTATCAGATTTTGTGCCATGAAACAGAATTCTCCATTCATTTGGATTGCCATCTTTTTTAAGCCAATCTTAATTTTATCCGTATACTCTTACATCTAATCCAACTCCAAAACATTCTGTTGGATATTTATAATCATATCTATGATATGGGGGTCCTCTCTATGCTTTTGTTTGATATTTATTCCATCTTTTATTGTATTCCGGATTAAAGATGTTACTATACCTTATTCCACTTGACTTTAGGTCTTTATTAGATAGGCTTAAACATTTATCAAAATATTCATAATTATCATTCGAATCATCGAGAGAATCAAAGCAAATCCCAATCCTCCTTTTATATTTTTATTCTTATTAAGGACTGGGAGTAAGTGTTTAAAACTGTTACCTTTAAAGCAATTCCTCATTCAAATCCCTTTTATCTTAGTTCTACTTGCTCTGTATCTCAACCTATTCAATGCGATTTTACACTAATTTTTATATATCGTTCTTAAAGTTTTCAAGGTTATATATCTTTTTAACTAATAGTATAAATTCATTAATCAAACGTTCTGAACATTTTTTAATTAATATCTTTGACTCTTATAAATATTCTTTATTTAAAGCATCATTAAAATCGATCTAAGTTGTAATTAGTGATAAAAGTTTACTAAGATAATTTATATGGACTTCCTAATTATCACAAAACTTTTAAAGCTAAGACACTAAACTTTAAAAATAATTTGATGAATTCTGCTTGAAGGTAAATTGTTAATCTGCTTAAGAAATTTGTTATTTTACTTGTATTGAAAGCATTTCATTAATTCTAATTTGTTAAAACGAAGCAAGGGTGTGCAATTTTGGTTTAAGTTCATTATTAATCCTTTCCTACCAATATTTCTCTCTCTAACTGCTATTCAAAGCCATTGAAAGATTATTGTCAATTTGTTAGATTCTACAATAATAGTTCCTACCTTGAGTTTTAATTTCTACAATTTTAAATTAAAATTGAGGAAATAAAAGAACTTCCTTTTCATTAGAATATCTTGAGTGATATGATTCTAATATAAAATACGGATGAGGATTTATTTTACTTAATGTTATTTCAAATAAAATGCCCTACTTATTCCCCATAAAATTTTCAGCACATCTTTTTTAAATTGTTGTACTTGTTAAAGCGTTCCAAAAGATAGATGTTTTATCTTTTTCACATTATTTTAATTAATCCATGATTTCATTGAAGATTTTCTCATCCCAAATATTTATCCCTCTGAATAATGTATTTTAAGCTAATTATTTTTACTACAGTTTGGAATAACCGTCAAACAGTGTACACATTATTTGTTCTATACTTTCATAACTTGATTCAGCAAATAATCCATTTAATTAACGATATAAAGCATCTGTTGTATAGTAATAAATTAATTTCTCAAAGAGAGTGAATTCCTTTCCTGTTTGTCTCTTTTTTTCGTTTGACTTTACTTACACATCCATTTTTAATTATCTTAAGCTTGTTTATCCAATCAGCTTTCCTATTTCATCATCTAAATTTACTTCTGATTCATAAAAGCCTTTTTGTAACTTTTGGTTAATTAATAAGAATTTAAAACTTGTTTCTTCAATCTAATGACTGTAATCCACTTATTTATCAACTTTCTTACAAAAAGATAAGGTTAAAGATTCTAAGGCGTTTAGGTATTCAAAATTTTACTTTACATAATATTCTAATTGTGAAACACTAGAATCAACTAGTATTAGCCAACCATCTTACATAAAATAATCAATCTGGCCATATTTTGTTTTCTTACAAAAAACAATTGAATTTTTTAGATTGAATGTTGTATCAGAAACCATTACCACACATTAACCTCCATTGAATTTAGTTGGAAAAATTTTTAAAGCCCCATAAGGTGAATTAATGTAATTATTAATTATTTCCTTTATTCTTTTCTAGTTGATCTAGTTCTCAAATTAGTTAATATTGTAGTTAATCTCTATCTATTACATTATTAATGGTTTTTCAATGCCAATAAATTCCACTTTAATTTTATTTTAATAGAATTACAAAATTTTTAAATTTAATAGTGCTTGTATAATTATTTAGAAATTTTTCCATCAATTTCATTAATTATTAAATCTATTTGTCTTGTTAGATCAAAAATAAATCATGGTACTTCAAATTTATTGTATTATTTTATTCAATAAGTGAGATGATTATAATTATTAAGATATCTTCAACATTTAGAATTGATAGCATTTCAAAGAGGAATTTTGTAAAGATAACAAATTTGTATCGTTTAAAGTTTGCCTGACTTAATTTTGGATTAAATTCAATCTTATTTACCATATACTAATAATTAGAAATTTGCTCCTTGACTAAAATTTTTGATTGTTGTTTGTAGGGGGTTATGTTTTATTTCATCAAATAATTTCAGAAAGGATAGAATAAAAATATTCTTTTGAATGGATTAATCTTTAAAACCAAACTCCACCCTGTTTAAACCTTAACATTGGAAATTAGAGGGTCTATTAATTATTTTCATAATTTAAGATGAAAATACTTGACTAAGACCTTTATTGGTTCGAGAACATCTTGCTAGCAGTATAGAAAAAACATCCTAATAATATTTAAATTAAGGAAAAAATAAATTAAGAATTGGGAATATCAATGATGCTAATAAAACATCCATACTGTTATAGAATCTCGAGCTGAGGTCGAATAATTTTAAAACTCAAGTAATTATATCAGAATAGGCATTTCTAAGGCCATCAATATAGAATCAAATAAATTTAAATGGAATCATAAAGGGCTCCCCAATCTAACTTCAAACCTTTCGCCCTATATACTAATGATTTCATTGAAGAATTATGATAAATAGAAAAGAATCTGAATATGTAATAATTGGATATGTGGATTAAAGTTTTAAGTCAAACATAGTTTAAAGCATTTTCAAATTTTATGATAACATCTAACTGGTTACGTGAGATAAGCAAGTAAAATCAGTAGTGTTCCTAATAAAGCATCAATCTAAATTATCAGAACCTTTGACCTATGGAGATAGTATGCGTACTTAAGAGGAACAAATATTGATGAAGGAAAATTGGAAAAAATGATTGATAGATTAGAACCAAAATAAATTGGGTAGCCAGTAAAATGCCAATTGAATTGGACTTTTAGATATTTATCAGATTCCTTGGCTAGAAACCTAAAAATCTTCACAATATTGTTGTGGATCTGATTGAATCCAAGAAGAAATAGAAAGTTCCAGCCCTTATTAGATTCTGATTTATGCTGATCGAATATTTGTGAAAAACATGAGGCAAATGCAAAAAGCAAGACACCTATTGGATATATTTTTATAAATTAAATTCTCAAGATTTGTTGTGCTATTAAAAAAGAGATAAATGGGAAAGTAATTAAAAAGAAAATTGAATACGGAATTAAAATTATCAGTGATGAAGAATAATTAGATTAATTAATTATGTGTTCTCCTTCTCAGTAAATAATAAATAAACTAATTCCAATTTTAAAGTAAGCTTTTAGATCAAAATAATTTTTTTTAACATTTTTTGATTATTTTTAAACAAAGATTATTCAATTATAAGTACTTTATAATCGTACTTAAGATTAGATAAATAATTTGATTTCTGCTAAAAATTATTTTTTTGGATTATTTTTGGGCAACATTAATTATTTAAATGAATTCCGCCAAACCTTAAAAAGAGACTATTCTTGTCTTGATAAACATTGGATTTCAAAAACACTTCATATTGTTTTTTAAAGCTTTATTTATCCTACATAAGATATTGTGACTTTAAAATTAAATTATAATTAAAAACTAATAATTTATATTTATATACTGATAGACTATCTAATTAACCCAATTTTATAGTACTTGATTAATCTTATAAAAATAGTTTAGGCATATTTTCAAAAGATTAAAATTTAATTATTCAAATAAATTAATTTTTGATATTTATATAATAACTCATTTATTTCATAATTAATATGTCGAATATCCACTATTTTTCTCATCCCAATACACCAAATATTTTCCATTATTTGTAACGGTTCCATAAACTTGAGAAGTGTCACATTTCAATTAATCTACTATTTTGTACCTCCCATCGCTAATTTCTCTAATGATATAAATATATTTCTTATGTCTTACTACGATCAAATTCCTCTCCTTATTATAAATAATTGGAAAACGATATTGATCAATATTTTCTTTATTTTTAATTAATTGAATTGTTTTTTCCTGATTTTCTTAAAAGGTTTCTTGTTATAATTCAAATACATAAAGATTATCCATTTATTCATCACCAGTTATCCAAATAAATTAATCATTCTTAATAAACTTAACCTTTTGCCCGTACAATTAAATTGATTATTTAACGAAATATTTGAATTCAAATTTATCCTTTTCTCTTCTTTCCCAAATAATAATTTAATTCTATTTTTTTGCACATGATACTAATTAGGTCTCTGATTAATTTAAACTTAATGAAATGACATAATGATCATGTTTATCTAAAGAATATTGATAAGTCAATTTATTTTGAATAAAATCAACCTTCCAAACTTTGATTGATTTATCACGACTTCCAGAAAATAGTAAATCCTCATTTGAATTCAAAATCATGCACATAACATAATCTGTATGTTATTGGTAAGATTATGAAAAACACCAATCATTTTAATCGATCAACTTCCAGCATCTTATTGTTTTGTCAGAAGAAATAAACGAATTAGATTTCTTGCTATACACTAAACATTAGATACAATCAGTATGTCTTTCCAAGGTTTTTCCTTATTTTATTGTTCCATTTTGAAATCTCCATATTTTAATATCATTTTCCGAGGTCGATACCATAATTGACCCATTAGAATTGAAAACTATATCATTACATCTTTTTAATTATTTTACAGATTAATCCAGTAACTTTAATTTGATTTCACCTTCTGATTATATATCTTAGTCAGAATAATTATTTTTTAATGGAGAATCTAAATTTATTTATTATTGATATTCATTTTGAGTAAATTTCATAGAATCTAATTGTAATTTTGACAGAAGCTCTTTACATTTTTTATATTCTTCAAATTTATTAAAATATTCTAGTTTAGGACACAATTTGGAACTCCAGCAATGATTGGTCTATTAAACTTCATGGATCAGTGATTAAACGTTGGCTTCCGATTTATTATTTTTTTTTATTATATCTTCTAATTCTTCATAAAAACTATAATGAGACTATTCTTAACCTTTTTATTATAGATTCTTAGTCCATTCCTTCATTATAGAAATCGATTCTTCAAATTATTTGATCACTATTGTTTTCATTTGATCTACCAAGTCATACATTGACTCAACTAATTTTATTTCGTTCACAACTATAGATTCTACTTTTTCCATCTTTTTTTCTTAGCTTTCTTGTATTATTTGAATAATTTTCTTGAATCCAACCTATTAAGCATCTAAGCCCGAATTTTCAGCACATGTTGTGCAAAGGAATCTCTAATCCCATTCTAATTTTGGATCAAGCGCAACCATAAAGACTGGTTGTCTATGTCCTGAGGAACAAAAAAAATCATCTACATTTTCTATCATTTTTGGTTAAAACATTTAATTAAAATAATAAAATGTATTTATTGATTGAACTATTATATAAAAATTTTTACTAAATAGAACCTGAAGTTAAGCTGATGTAGTTTTTTCATTTATAGAGAATTTTTAGCGGATGGCTGGTTTTAAATCTCACTTTTTTTCACTTATAAGTTCATAATTCATAGTGTGAATTAATATTTTTCTTTTATCATATTATAGATCTAATAATCAAAGAGCATGTATATTACTCATTTTATGAAAGGCAAAAGTACGAACCAGCACTAAGAACTTGATCTTATAGATATTCAAGACATGATCTGCAATTTTTAGTCTTTGTCTAAATGATATAAAAGAGAGAGTTAGTCAGTCAGATTATGCATTTTAAGTTTTAATTTTGTATAAGTACCGAGATTATTGGTAAAAATTTTAATTAGGTACTCTAATTGTACATAAGGACAAGAATATGAGATAGAAAGGGATGACCACCTGATAAAAGATTATTTTTCTTCATTTGTGAAAAGAGTGTTGTGATTAAAATGTGGTTAATGGTGTGTTAATGAGTAATCAAGTTAAAATCATAACTTGAATCGCTTTTATAATAGCACTTAAATGAAAGAAAGACTGTTTCTACTTTTGTTTTCGAAAATGAATATAATTTAATAGAAGTTTATAATTGATGCATTTGAAACCCTATGATAATTGGAACTTAATTTCAAATCTCAAAGATAGTATATAATTTTCAATTCTCGTTAGCCTAGTAATAATATTTTAGATTTCATTTTTATCATATATAGATAAGAATAATTTTATTGAAATTGAATATTAAATCTATTTATGATCTATAAACACATTTAATAAATAAAATGAAGGGAATTAATTAGTAGATAAGCTTNTCAAATTTATTAAAATATTCTAGTTTAGGACACAATTTGGAACTCCAGCAATGATTGGTCTATTAAACTTCATGGATCAGTGATTAAACGTTGGCTTCCGATTTATTATTTTTTTTTATTATATCTTCTAATTCTTCATAAAAACTATAATGAGACTATTCTTAACCTTTTTATTATAGATTCTTAGTCCATTCCTTCATTATAGAAATCGATTCTTCAAATTATTTGATCACTATTGTTTTCATTTGATCTACCAAGTCATACATTGACTCAACTAATTTTATTTCGTTCACAACTATAGATTCTACTTTTTCCATCTTTTTTTCTTAGCTTTCTTGTATTATTTGAATAATTTTCTTGAATCCAACCTATTAAGCATCTAAGCCCGAATTTTCAGCACATGTTGTGCAAAGGAATCTCTAATCCCATTCTAATTTTGGATCAAGCGCAACCATAAAGACTGGTTGTCTATGTCCTGAGGAACAAAAAAAATCATCTACATTTTCTATCATTTTTGGTTAAAACATTTAATTAAAATAATAAAATGTATTTATTGATTGAACTATTATATAAAAATTTTTACTAAATAGAACCTGAAGTTAAGCTGATGTAGTTTTTTCATTTATAGAGAATTTTTAGCGGATGGCTGGTTTTAAATCTCACTTTTTTTCACTTATAAGTTCATAATTCATAGTGTGAATTAATATTTTTCTTTTATCATATTATAGATCTAATAATCAAAGAGCATGTATATTACTCATTTTATGAAAGGCAAAAGTACGAACCAGCACTAAGAACTTGATCTTATAGATATTCAAGACATGATCTGCAATTTTTAGTCTTTGTCTAAATGATATAAAAGAGAGAGTTAGTCAGTCAGATTATGCATTTTAAGTTTTAATTTTGTATAAGTACCGAGATTATTGGTAAAAATTTTAATTAGGTACTCTAATTGTACATAAGGACAAGAATATGAGATAGAAAGGGATGACCACCTGATAAAAGATTATTTTTCTTCATTTGTGAAAAGAGTGTTGTGATTAAAATGTGGTTAATGGTGTGTTAATGAGTAATCAAGTTAAAATCATAACTTGAATCGCTTTTATAATAGCACTTAAATGAAAGAAAGACTGTTTCTACTTTTGTTTTCGAAAATGAATATAATTTAATAGAAGTTTATAATTGATGCATTTGAAACCCTATGATAATTGGAACTTAATTTCAAATCTCAAAGATAGTATATAATTTTCAATTCTCGTTAGCCTAGTAATAATATTTTAGATTTCATTTTTATCATATAAACACATTTAATAAATAAAATGAAGGGAATTAATTAGTAGATAAGCTTATGTTCTATGTAGAATTTTTAATAGAATCCTATTTGTTAGACTTGGAATTGAGAAATTACTTCTATTTGATTTTGTCCTAAATTTCTCAATGAGTGACTCTTCATTATTAATTAGAAATTCTTCATTTTTTATACCCACAAAACTTAAATAATTTTTTTCATTTAATTAAATGCTTCTAATATTATTAAATCTAATAGCTCCTTATAATTGTGGCGAATACAATTTTGCCTTGTTAGTTGGGTAGCCTAATACTATACTTTTATCATAATATACTCCAAAAGAAATTGATGCTCCTTTTTATTAGATTTAAGATTCTAATTAGTACAATTTAGAAATATAACAATCAATTCATCCACTTTTTAATAATGTATTCAATTTTAGTAATATCTTAATGAATAATAATAGGTTAGAGAATTGTGTGTGCTAGTAATTATGTAGCATCAAAATTTTTATATTCAAACTATTTTTGGTTTTTATCCGATTAATAGATATTATATGCAGGGGTTTTGGATAGCTTTGGTAATATAACAACTGAAATAATTGATGTAGAATTACAAGGGTTGGGTAAATTTATTATTTAATTTCTGTGTAGTATGTATTTACGTAAATTTAATCACTTTGTCTGAAGGAATTTTAACCTGTTTGGATCAATTACAGATTATATTTGTGAATGTCGATTCAGCAAGTTTACAATAAACATTTTATAACACGAGTTACTATCTTCCCTAGGGGTATTCCTATCTAAAATCTACTATAAATTATGAGAATGAAAATGCTTATTCTATTATGACTTCTTATATTACTAATACGTATGCTAGCGTAGTTAGATTTAGATATCGCCCAAATACTATAGAAACTTATAGTTCATACAATTGTTCTGGCTAGTATTATTAAGTTGAAGTCATCAATTTTTCTTTATTTTTGTTGAATTTAAACTCTGTTTAATATGTAGATTTAATATATTTTTAAATAACATCAACAATTTAAATATAAAACTCAGGAAATTAACAGACATCTATGGCAGTTAGTGATGTTTCAAATTAAACCCTATATCGGATAGCAATTTTAGATAATTTACAACTGTAGATTTATTATTTTAATTCTTAAAAATTAACATCCAAAAAAATAGCAATAAATTTATTAATAATTAACCCATATTAAAATTTAATTCAATTTAGCATCACTTTTAATAGTATTTACATAATAACAAATAACTATATAATGAAACTTTCTGGAGAAACTGATATCCATCCATAAGGTTATATGCCATTGCATTCTTGTAATTATGTGATGATATCATTTGAGAGGTAAATCATAGTAACTTAACAAGTATTAAATGGATAAGTCATATTTTCAACATTCCTCTTTAACCAACCCTAAATATAAATATCAATCAATTAAACTCTTATGATAGTATAGAATACAACGTAATACTTGTTAAAATTATTAATAACGCCACAAACTTTGTAATAAATAAAAAGCTAAATTTCTTTTTGGATTATGCCCCAAAATTTAACGAATTCGATATGCCCTATCGCATTTTAACATAATATGAGCAATTTGTATTTAAGTTTTCCTGATCCATATAATATTCCTTTTACTGAAGTGTTTTTAGGTCCAAACCTTACTTAATCAATTACCTCATAAAATCCATCAATTCTATATGCTGAAACAACGAGCAATTATATTAAATTCTAAGTCAAAACTAATACTATTGTATATTTAGAACTATGTTCCATATATAATAGTAGTGCTATTTATTGTTCTTAATACAACAATTTTACAATAGAAATTTCTTATTGGAATCCCCTATTATCATAGTAATATATGTAATATCCAGCAACTTAATAAATGAAGTCTTGTTCATGTTTCAAGTCAAAGAGTAATGTCAATATTTTAATTGAATTTAATGATACCATATTTGTACAGAAATTCAACTATTAAATCTAACCAGAGGACTTTTGGCCCTTAACTATGCCAGTTTAAATACTGAGCAGTACTATATTATAAGATACTCTTTTTATTATTACTATTGATGGACACCTGACTGCTTAGTCTCTCAAAATATATGGAGACCCCATCGTATTTACTATAACTAATTATACATTCAATTATATATACACTAATGTAAGAAGTTATCCGACCTTTTTATTTATTGATAATAAAGTTAATTTGATGATTTTATAGTATAATGGAGATTATTATACTTATGAAATATTAAATACCATATAATATCCAATTACAGATTACAATTAAATCTCGATAGGCATATTAAAAACTGGAATTTATATGGCAATTGTTGCATAAAATAACAATTTTTTATATTTCTTTCCTATATAAAATGTGTATATTACAAATTCAGGATAAAATTATTATTTAGTAGATTTGTTAGGGTACGAATTTTAAACTGGATAAATAGTCAGTTCATATACTTCAAATCACTTTTATTTAATCTTGGAAAACTAAGTTGGAATATATTGTGCTTACTTTTCTGGTAGTGGCTCTCCATTTAATTCATTTGTTTATTCGAATCTGTTATTCTCTAATTCTTAGAAAGAAATAATATAATACATGAGTGTTATTTAAAAGGATGAATATCATATAGAATTGGTCTAAGTATATACTAATACATCAGTGGCCATAAATGGTTCAGTATTCTTTGGAGAATTTCAAATGATACCTTATTTTTTGGAAACAAAATATTCTTATATGACTAACGTTAGTTACTTGGCTTCGAATTAAAACTGTTCGCTTTAATTACAACAAAGAGTCTATGTAACATTCGATAGATAATTTATCACTCCAAAATAATTCAACTCAGAAATCTAAGTATTGAAAATTCAAAATGCCACAAAATTAAAAATAAATCCATCCAGCTTATTTAATGGGAATATTTAAAATTATTCAAAATATTGTAAAGAATGCAATTCCTTTAATTTAACTTAACCTATAAGTAAATTAACTTCATAAACATTGAACTTTTCAATTTCAGCAGCAGTCAAATGTAAGGATAATATCTTTCTTCAAAACAATATCAGCGTGTACTAGCTGAGTGAATCATCTGGAGCTTACAAAATACTTTATAATTTTCCTTATTAAAATTCCTACTGTTATACGATATTTATAGATAAGTTTACTTAGTTTCCAGTTTCTATATGTTTCAATCAAACTACCTTTATATATGCTTATAATCTTACTGGAAATACGGAGATTTAATATAATTTTACAAATTTTTCAAACTTATATAAAGCTAATTATAGAAATGGTGTACTCTAAGTAATCACTATAAATTATAAACTATAAATTGAAAAATATTCTTATTACTCATTTTATTTTTGGATATCAAACAACACTATTTATCTAGAATAAATTTTTAATTCAAGTAATCTGTGTACTAATTCATTTTTGGACTTTGTTTACCTCAGCATGTCTTCAAATTATACAGCTCAACCTTGTTAAATATTTGGATTTACATCTTTAGAAAAAAATGGTTTTTATAATCCTATATTTTACTTACTTAATACTTGTATTTCTTCTCAAACTAGTCAATAATTTGGTTTCTAATCTAATTAGTATGCTGAAAATTTCAACATCTATTTTACAATAACAACTTGGAATTTATATTAAACATTACCCATCTACTTCAAATTTCTATTCGACATTCAATAATATTAAAATTCAAAAAATAAAACCACCGATATCATTGAATAGCAGTTTATAGTCCCATTAAGTTATAGTATTGAAATTTATTCTATCTTATTTAATATCAATTATGGAAATATTATTGGGTTTCATAAATAAGCAAGTTTATTTCTAAGTTATAACTCTAATGTAAGTGGATATTTTACATTTTAAGGAATTAATGGTATGATAATTAATGAAAACTATGTCAATTACACAACGTTAACCATAAATATTTATCCTATTTCTTAAAAGTAAATTATGTATTTTATTTAAATTTAGTTATGAATAAGAGCAACAACCAATCCAAATTATTGCTTAAGAATATTATACACTCTAAACTGTAGGTTCACTAGTTTATTCAGTCGTAACAGAAAATTATTTATTTATAACTGATAATGATTCCAATTAGACAATTGCATATCCTATTTAAAGTTGGCTTGAAATTGATGTTGACATTACAGGATTATAGTAATCATCAATTTATATAACTGCTTAAAATTAATAAAGCTAATCCTAATAATCATATTTTTTATAGAATGAAGCCTACTAAGCGATTCCAGAATAAAAAGAAAAATAAAATCTTGGCTTGATAATTGGACTTTCAACTTTTCTGTTAATTGTCGTCACTCTAATAACATCATTTATTATTAGATATTTTAGATATAAATAAAGAACAAGAAGTACTTTAAATTACTTTGAATTGGAAAAAAAATTATGAACCATAAGTAATTGCGACTACTTATTAAACAATTATATTTTATTATTTGTTAAATAATATCATTTACTTAAACAATCATAAGACAAATTCTTATTTTCTAGAAATATATTCAAAGTTACAATAAGTTTTGTTTCAAGAACAGTAAACTATTTTTCTGAATTGCAAGAATCACTAAATTGAACATAAATGTTTTTTCTTGGTTTCTTTTCAAAAATAATGGGTATAAATGATTCAATTTTATTAGAGTTAATAAGATATCTTATTATTCAATATTCATAAAATTGATCAGTTCTAACATTCATAAATCAAAATTATCGAAAAAGGAATCTGTCTTATAATACTTTTTACTATATATATGCGTCACCATTATTAATTATTTTCAGAAGTTTAGATATTATGTTTTGAAAGTCATTGTCTGTCATTTTCAATTCTTTATAATTTCAACTATTAATTTTGATTTACGTAATATTTCTGTCAAAAATTAGTTAACGTTATTATTATTTTGATAAAATTCTCTTAAAACTAATTAGGGATACTCTGGTATTATTTGAATTACTTTAAGTACTAAATTATCTGATATTATAGATAAAAGTATTTGAAGTCTAATAAAATTAATTTAAGAATTGTTCCCCTTGCAGGTAATATAATAAATACAATCAGGCAAATAATTCTATATTCAAAATGCAAATGAGATTGACAGAACTAAATTCTGAATGTTCTAAAATATATATTCTTAGTTGTTAGGATTCAAAGATTTATAAGTATGCAATTCAATCGATGCAGAATTTAATAATTATCCTCTGGCTTCAAATTTTCATCCATAATCTAAATATTTTTAAGATTTCAATTGATAAATTTAGTGAATCAGCCTAAACTAATTATTAATTATACCTCTTGAGTTTTAATGTAAAAGTATTAATAAGAAATAGAAAGAGCTTGGTTATAACCAAATATTGCTGTCTCATATTGCTTTACTCATGTAGTAAAAGATTATTAGTTCTCTGTATTATCACAACATCTGATTAAATCATTATTTACCTTTATTGTTCAATAAGCATTAAATAGCCTTGTTGCAACAATCGATTGCTGATTAATATTAATGTAAATTGTTTATTGCTAAACCTAAATAAGGACATTAAAAAAAGTTTATTACCCTTGTTGGTGCATGCATTATTATTATTAGTATCTATAGAAATAGCTTTTGTAAGACTAAATATTTTTTTAAATTTGGATAAAGTGTATTACCCTATTTCACTCATGCAAAATCATTATTCTGATTTGTAAATATCACCTTGTTTTAAGACTCATTCAAATGATTATTAATATTTATTTAAATGGCTTATAATAATGAGTAAACAAATGAAGGTACTGAGGAGCCTAAAATAAAAATAAAAATAAAACACTACCTTTCCATTAATAAACTGTTATCTTAATCAAGTAATTTTATTGAGTTATCAAACAAATTCAAGGCCTCCCTATATTTAAAATTTTAAATTATTGATACATTTAATAAATTGTGAAAATAATTCTATGGCTATTTTTATATACTAAATTAAACCTTATTAGAGTTAATTTTTTGCTTCTTTTATATTCTGATTATATACACGGCTAATATGGCTTATTTAAACTTGTACTATATTTTTTGTATGGGCTAAGGGGTGATAGGAGCATTTTAATTTATGATTAATTATTTCTCAATCTATTGAAGTTTAATCTTGAAATTTACATGATACGTCATTAATGCGCGATAATTATTTCTTTTAATGAACCTACTTTTCCTATTTCAAAGCCAATATACATTTTCAAGCAAATTTTTAGCAATCAATAAGTAAGGTATTGGTCAAATGTTATTAACTTCAAAAAAATAACAATTTATAAACAGATCAAATAAACTAATGAATAATTAAGCAAAGAAAATATATAATGTGAAATCAGCAAGTCATAATTTACTTGTTTCCCTGAAACCCATTGATTTAAAGTTATGTTATAATTTATATTTTAGCGAGATAAATCGACTATTTTTTATGATAAAATAGGAATGTAAAAATGGTACAAATGTTGGTAGATTGTATATTTGAAGAAGATTAATAAATATCAAACATAATGCACTATAATCAAGAGGCATAGAATAATTTGATGAGTATTGTAGGAAATTAAGGCTGGGAAATGAATTGAAAATTGGGAAAAGTTTGATTTGTATAATTAAGTAGCCTATAATCGCGAGTATATATAATTGGCAAAAAAGTAGCTTTATGGGTGTAATAGGGACAAAGTAATAGAGAAATATTTAAAAGAAATAATTTATGATGACTCAATTTTAAGTTTCTAAAATTTTAGAAATTATTGAATTACAACATGGATTATTAGAGCTTTGAATATCTATATTAAAATAATGTATGCTGAATTAAAACTAACATACTAATCGAAATATTTACAATAGTCTCTAATTCAGATTAATAACATACAAACTCTGAATTGATTTCAAGCAAAAGAGAAAAATTTAGAGAACAAAATCAGAAGTCAAGACTTGAATCAAATTTTTTTTTAAAATAGAGATTACCTAAAATCTTATACTAATGGCTATTAATCACCCTAATATTACTAACTTTGTACTATCCATCAAAATAGTGAAAAATGCAAATTTCATGACATTTACACAACTATAAAAATACTCACTTCATATTAAAATATTCTCATTTTGAATTAATTGCACAATTATCAAGATTCAAGATAATTATAAAAAATGGAAAATACACCTACTATTATGGAAGAT